TTCATTATCGTGTCATTTAAATGAAAATCCCATTTAGACAGTAAAAATGAAGACATTTTTTTTTTTTTTTTTTTGAAACAAACATGGATTTTGAAATAATTTGAAAAAGTAATGTCGCGATAACATTTTGCGGTTAAACATAAATTTTATATGTTAGTTTATGCTATGTAAATTTTAATATCTCCCACTATTATTTTATACTTTTTCATCGATCGAAAATAAATAATAATAATAATAACTTCACTTTCATTTGTAAAAAAAAAAAAAATTAATTTTTTTATAGCATTCGATTATTATTAAACATCAGAAACAATGTTTTTTCGCTACATCTTTCGTTTCCCCCTCCCCTTCCCTCACCTCGCTATAAAATGCCTTTTTCTCTCTCTCTCTCTCTCTCTCGCGTTTATTTATGTTCATGCCATTTTTATTATGTAAATTTTTAGTATAAAAAAAAAAGATTTTTTTAAATTTTTAAAAAAAAAAAAAAAAAAAAAAAATGAAGTTCAAAAATTTACCATGTAAATAAAATAACATAAAAAAAAAAAAAAAAAAGTTTTGAAGCATAAAATTAAATTAAAAATTTTTAAATGTACAATCTTCCGTGAATTTTTTTTTATAAAAAAAAAAAAAAAAAAGAAAAAAATTTCCACCAAATTAACTTCAATTCTTTTTTTTTTTTTTTTTTTTTTATCATTCGTCAGTTATTTATTAGATTTTTTTTTTTTTTGTTAAAAAAATGTTATTCTCACACGTAAATGTAATATTTTTTTTTTTTTTTGTTTCCATTCAATTTTCAGGTTTTCGAATAAATGGAGGAGTACGAAGAAATCGATTAATATCAAACATGGCGAACGTGAAAATAACGACGGAATCACGTGGGATTTAAACGTAACAAATTCGTTTAAATTAACAAATAAAAAACAAAAACAAATAAACAAACCTGAAGCGGTCACATCCAAAGACGTTAGATCCGTTGGCAAAAATTACGATACTCATTTGAGTTTTTTCATATTATCATCGATTGGATTTATCGCCATGGCCACCCTCACTTTTACTTCTCTTTATTTATCTAAAACAAAAAGAAGAGATCATGAAAATTATCAAAGACAAAGTCAGGATATTGAAGTTTCAAGTATTTCGAGTATAGGAAATGAATTGTGGTGACCTTTGCTAGTGAATGGGGAAACAACAACCCTATCTTAAATCTGTAAAAAAAAAAATTATTGATATATATAAATAAATAAAAAAAGAAAAACAATGTTTAGCTTGTGATTGAAAATGTGTCGAAAAAAACTATTATTTTTTAGGTTATATAATAAGTTATATTTCAAATCTTTCATTTCACTTATTATTATTATTATTATTATTATTATTATTATTATTATTATTATTATTATTATTATTATTATTATTATTAACTTACCTAAAATTAAACAAAAACTAATTTCGCGTATATACAATCTGGAATTTTCAAAAACTTTCCTTAAAATAATTAAATAATTTTTTGTTTTGTTTTTTTTTTTTATAAACTCTAAAGTTTATCCGTGATTAAAACTTTTCCTTAAAAAAAAAAAAAAAAAAAAAAATTTTCTTTTGTTTTTCCTTTAATATTTATAAAAAACAAAAATTTTGTGTTGTTGTTGTTGTTGTGAAAAGGGCAAACGTTTTGGAAAATCACAATAATAATAAGGAAAAGTTAAGGTAAAATAAATTAATTATTTTTAGAAAAGTAAAAAAGGGGGGAGGGGAGGGGAAAAAAACAAGAAGGAGCGGAAAAAGGAAATCGTGAAAAACAAAAAAAAAGGTTGGAAAATTTTTTTTTTCTTTTTCCTTTTTCCCCCGGTTATTAAAATATATATATATATAAACCAAAAAAAGAAAAATTTTATTCCATACTACTTCGAACCGCCATCTTTTTTTTTTTTTTGTCAAATTTTAATTTAAGCTCAGTTACAATAAAAATAAATAATAATAATCATAATAATAATAATAGTAATAATACAAAATTAACGAGAATAAACTTTGTGTCAAAAAAGGAAAAAATATTTTTTTTCCCCCCATTTTTTCTTTCTTTATTCTAATGCCACGACGATGAAAATTTTAATATTGACGAAAAAAAAAAAGGAAAAAAGAAAAATAATAATAATAATAATAAGGAAGAAAAATTTTGTTATAATTACGTCGTATAATCTTTTTCATTAAATTAAATTTTATTAAACTTCATTGTTTTTTTTTAACGTTAAAAAAATTTATTTTTATTTTTTTTTTATTTTTTTTTCTTCTGCTTTTTCTCGGTTAATTTTTTTTTTTTTTTTTTAAATTTTGAAATAACGCCGAATTTTCCGGTACGTTTTTAATAATATAATTAATTTATTTTCTTTTGTAACTCTCTCTCTGTCTCTCTCTCTCTGTTTCATATTATTTTTAATATTAAATTTTTTAAATTATTTATTTTAATTTTTAATTTAAGATTAATTAATGTCAGTGTAATTAATAAAAATCGAAAATAACGTTTTTTTTTTTTTTTAACTAATTAGCTTTTTTGTTATCAATCGACCGACGATAAAATGCCCACAATAAAATCAATAGAATTTATTTAAATAATTAAATTAACAAACAAACAAACAAACAATCGAAAAAATTCGATATAAAAAACCCACCGAGTCTCGTTAAACAAAAAAAAAATTTTTATTTAGTCATTCAATGTCCGTGGGCTCTAAAAACAACAACAACAACAAACAGATAATCGCGTTAGCCCTTCGATTTTAATCGTAATATAAAAAGCTATCGAAAGCTAATGTTTAACTTTACGCGCCTTAAATCTTTTTAATACGAAAAAAAAAAAAAACTTTTAATTCTTTTCGACTACTACGCGATTTTCCATTTACCGGAAATACAGGAAGTTACAATACATTTCCTTTCACCTCGAAAATTTTTATTATTATTATTATTATTATTATTATTATTATTATTATTATTATTATTATTATTATTATTATTATCCAATTGAAAACCAAAAGGAAAAACATTTCGAAAAATTTTTTTTTTTTGAGGAAAAGGGGGAGGGTTGGTTTTAACGAGTGGAGGAGGAGGTGGAATTATTGCTTTAGGGAAGGTTTAATTTTTCTGCTTTTCAGAATTTCCTCAAATTTCAAATTTTTTTTTCTTTTTTTCCTAACTATTATTATTATTATTATTATTTTTTCCTAACTATTATTATTATTATTATTGATTAACTTTCCCCTAAACTCAATTTTTTTGTGTTATTTTTACACGCGTTAAATTTTTTTTTTTTTCCTTTTTCTATTTTTTATATGTGAAACGTTATTATTATTATCATCATCATTCTAATTTTCTGTTTTAACCTCCTTTTCTTATACTTTTCTGCTTCGGATAAACTTTTCTTTTCTTTTTTTTTTTTTTAATAATAAGATATACACAAATTTGGGCTTTGCGCACTTTCGGCTTGACAATAATAAATAATAATCGATATTATTAATTAATTTATTTATTTATTGATCGAAAAAAAAAATAATACTAATAATTCGATATATTTGTGAATCATTTATTTTTTGTATATAAATATATATATATAGCTTTGTGAATAAATCATATTATAAGAAAAAAATAAAATAAATAAATAAATGATGTGCGTGTGTATATATACGTGAATATACATACATAAATTATTATTATTATTATTATTACGGTAAGAAAAATAAAAAAAAAATTAAAAAAAGAAAAAAATTTTATTTTTATTTTGTAAAGTAATTTCAAATATTTCCTTTATAATCCTATCGTTAAAATTAAAATCTTTTTATTATTATGTAACGACGTGGTGAGGAAAAGAGAGATAGAAGAAAGAAAAAGAAGGAAAAATCACCATGGATTCAAAGGGATTTTTTATTAATAATAATAATAATAATAATAATAATATTAATAATAATAATAATAATAATAATGGTGAAATCTTTAATTTGGTATTCCGAATCATTTCCTTAAAGGTATTTGAAATATTTTTCAGTTTGACCCGAGAATTTAATGAATTTCTAAAAAGATGATGATGATGATGTTATTCATCATTTTATTTTTTTCTCTCCCCATTTTATTTTTTCTCCCCATTTTTTTTTTGGAAACGTGAAAAATAAAATAAGGGTGAAAGAAAGAAAGAAAAAAAAAAAAGAAGGGAAAAAATTGAAAACGAAGGAGGAGGTAAAAACATAAAAAAAATAAAATAAAAAAGATCAAATGTTATTTTAATATAAAAGAATAAGAACCTTTTTTTCCCCTCCTCCCCTCCCCCCTCCCTTATTGAAAACTCTCCAACCAGCACCTTCTCTCCCCCCTCTCTCTCTCTCTCACTCTCTCTTTTATAAAATAACGTTTACTTTTCCATGTGAGAAAGTAAGTTGATCTTTTGACTTTTCTTTTTTTTTTTTTTTTATGTCTTAACATATCTAAATAAAATGAAATGAAAGGGAAAAAATTTATATTTCATTTTTTTTCCCCTTCCTCTCTCCTTCCTCTCTTCAGCCCCGCCACACCCCCCGTTTTTCCCCCTTTAATTTTTTTTCAATTTAAACCGGTAGGAAAATACCAAAAAAAGGGAGGGGAGGAGGAGGGGAATGTTGGAGAAGAATCGAGGAATAAAAATGATTTAATATTAAAATAAAAACCTTCTTAAATCTTTACCTACGTATTCTAGTTCAACCTTCCATAAATTTTACAACTTTTCATTGATTTCATAATAATAATAATAATAATACTATTTCGTATATAAATCCCGTTTCTTTAACGAAGGAAAATATACTATTTATGTAAATAACATTCCTCCTACTCACACTCTTATTAAAATATTAATAATAATAATTTGTTAACGATACCTATATATGGTATTTTTCGTCGGAAAATCGTTTTTTTTTTTTTTTTTTTTTAACGTAATGAAGACATATTGTTTAAACAAAAGAAAATTTCAAATTTTTTTAAAATAAAAAGAAAATCCTTTTCTCTTTTTCGTTAAAAAAAAAAAAAGAAAACGAGAAGAAAAATAATTTCTTTTCTTTTCTTTTTTTTTTTAATTTTCTTTTCAAACGTTAAATATTCAAATCGTATTTTTTTAACTAAGAGACTAAATTATTTAATCAGTTCATTTTTATTCGAAACCGGTTTTTTCTTCAAGGTAATTATAAAGTTATGGTTTGGAAAATTTTCTTTCTACGTTTCGTTTAAGAGAGAGAGAGGGGGGGAAGGGGGGTAGAGAGAAAATTCAAGAAATAAATTTTTAAGCAAACAAAACAAAATAAATGCGTCGTACCTTTTTGTTTTTAAATAACCTTTTAACATTATAACGTACCTTTTTATTTTTACATAAAAAAATTTTTTTTTCCGTTAATAAACAAACCGGAAATGGTATTATTGAAAAATTTTCTTTTTTTTCTTTTTATACATAAAACGTATTCGAGTTTAAAAAAAGAAAAAAAAAACGTTTTAATATTTTTTTTAAATGATAGTAAACTTTTTTTTTTAAAAAAACTATAAATAAAGAAAAAGAAAATGAAGAAAAGTGATATTAAAAATAATAATAATAATGATGATAATAATAATAATAATCCCGAGAGAAATTTACAGTTTTATGACGATATTTTTTTTTTTTTTGTGATATCAAAAAGTGAAAAAATAATCCTACCAAAGTTTTTTTTTTTTTTTTTTATCATTAGTCTCCTCTTTCAGTTTTAGTTTAATCTCAAATATCGACTATTTATCAAAAAAAGGAAAGAGAGAGAGAGAAAGAGAGAGATAGAAAATATATAATATCGAAAAGAGAAAAAAAAATTATATTGAAATGTCTCAACGAACAAACAATTTAATATTGTTTAAAAAAAAAAAAAATTGATTTTTTAAAAACGAAATTTTAAAATTTTATAAAAATTTAATTTTTCTTAACTTTTTTCTTTTTTTTATCATCCCTACCACCCTCCCCCTCTCCTTTTTCTCTCTCTCTCTCTCTTCCCCCATTAAAAAACAAAACGAAAAAAATTAATAATTATTTAAAAAAAAAAAAAAAAAAAAACTTACCCTACCTTACTGTGCAGAAAAAAAAAATTATTGCCGAGGGAAATTTTTTTTTCCTCATCTTGCTTTTTCCAGCCACTACAGCAGCAGCATTTATTTATTTATTTATTTTTCTAAAATGAAAAAAAAAATTAAGTTTTGTTTATAATAATAATAATAATAATAATAATAATAATAATAATAATAATAATAATAATAATAATAATAAAGAAAATTCGTAATAAGATTTATTTAAAAGTTTTTTATTTACAAAACAAATAAAAATTATTATTATTATCATTTTAATTAAAAATAATCGATCCATTGATCGATTTATAAAAAATTTTTCTAAATTAATATTAATAAGTTTTTGAATAAATAATAATAATAATAATAAATTTTATTTATTTTATCGACGGTAAAAATAAATAAAAGAACCCTTACATTCTTTAGAACGAAATGTAAACAATTGGGGGGATTTTTGAAAATCCTCCCCTTTTTTTTCCATACACTGACTCCCTTTTAAACTAAAAATCATCAACCCCTAATTAAATTTCAATTTTTTATTAACGGGCACATTATTCAATAAAAAACAGAAAAAACAAAAAAATTTTTTTTCTTTGTTAAACACCTGTAGGCTACATGAGAAAGAAAAAAATTATTTAATTTTTAAAACCAATCAAAAATTTTCTTTTTTTTTTTTTCGTTAATAAAAATATATTTCCGGTTTTTTTTTCATTTAAATTTTCTTTAAGTGACGTCACATACATAAATAAATGCAAATTGATTAATAATAATAATAGTAACGAAATAAATTTTTTTTTTTTCGCATTAAAATTCAAAATGGGATGACATTTAAAAAAAAAAATAAAAAATTTTGTTTGTTTGTTTGTAACTAGTTAAAAATAAATACTTTTAAGGTTTTTAAAAAGAAGTTAGAAAAAATAAAATTTAAACTTGAGTCAACTCTTTACAACATTTAATCCACGCGTTTTTTTTTTTTTATTTTTGATGAAAGTTAAACAAAAATAAATAAATAGAGGAGCTTTTATCAAATTTTAAGAAATAGATACTCTACCACTATTTAATACAAAAGTGGTTTTATAAAAAAAAAGTTTTTTAAACTACTCATCAAATATTTTTTTTTTTGCTCGTTTTTAATTCGGTTTTTTCTTTCTTTTTTTTTTTTTAAATATGGGGTTAAATTAATATTAATAATAAAATTCCAAAACAGACACTGAAGCTGTCACGAACAACAGCGGTTTTCCCCTCTCCTCCCTCCTCTCCTCCTTCCTTCATTATTTATAACTTTGATTATGAGCATGAAATTAAAAAATTTTTTTTTAGATAAAATACGCAACAAATTTTTGACTTATGGTTTTTTTTTAATAAAATTCATAATTCATTAAAAAGCCACAATAATAATAATGATTTTAAAAATGCATAAAAGTAATACTTTTTTTTTTATGTACAAAAATAAAAAAGAAAACGGTATTCATTTCATTTTTTTTTTTTTTTTAATTGCGTTTATTTTATTTTTATTCGCGGCAGGCAAAGCTTCCGTTAGTGTTGAGAAAAAGAAAAAAGTTCTTTTCGTTTTTTAACTTTATTAAATTTAACCTCCCCCTCCTCGCTCCTTTCCCCCCCAAAAAAAACAAAAGAAAAAATGCTTTGAAAATTCAACCGAAAAGATTTTAAGTTTTTTTTTTTTATTGCTTTTATTGCAGCAAATTAAAAAAAAAAAGGAAAGAAAATATGCGGTTTTATTTTTTTAGTA